ATTTTTTCTGCTTTGTTTGCATTTATTTTTCTTTTTTTGTTTAAATGCGTTTCAATAAGTGCACTTGCCAATTTGTTGTTGTTCGCATTGCCTAAGCTATTCTTTTGTTAGCTTTGCTGAATTCTAACGAAATTATTTGTGGGTGCGTGTGTATGTGATTATATAAAATTGTACAGCGGTAATTAACGATTTGTTGTTGTAGCTAAACAAAATATGTATTTTTTGAGATTTTTGCGGTGATATATAACATAGTAGCTGTTTATGTGTATTTTGTGCCTTTTAAATTTTGTTAAGAATTTTCATTACAAAAAAAAGAGAGTAAAACTTTGTTGGCAGTTCCAAAATAATTATAATTTTAGTTCCTAAAAAAAAGTGAAGTTCACTTCTTGGCATTTGATAAAAAAAAATGAAAGTTTACATTTCGGATGACCCTGTATATAGCAAAATTTTTGAAAATTTTATGTCATAAATATTGTTATTACTGTTTTTGGGGCCCCGTAATTCTACTATTGATACTAATTTGTATCTAAAAGATACGCTAAGTGGCGCTGCGGTGCCAATTTATCTGGTTTTTAAGAGTCTCGGTACTTGGTAATCTAATATACAGAAATAAATTTAAAAAAAATGTTAAGCATTAGTCTTGTTATTACTATGTTTGGGACGCGAAATTTGTTTTGAGCGTTTATATTTATCTTAAAAATACGCTAGGTGGTGCTGTGAGGCAATTTTTTTCATTTTTTTTTAATTATTGATATTTGGTAACACTGTATGTAATAAAAATCCAAAAAAAAATAAAATTATACCATCAGTATTGTTATGGCGTTTTTGGGAGACGTGAAATTCAATTTCGAGGCTTATTTTTAACTAAAATATACGCTAGATGGCGCTGTGGTGTAATTTTTTCTATTTATTGAGACTTTTTGATATTTGATGGTCCTATATGCAGGAGAATATAAATATAAACTTTCATTTCCTTTTGTTTTCATCAAATACATTTCCACCATTTTTTAATATAAATTATGATAATATAAAAATATGTTTTTATAACGTTCTAGGTATAACATACAGTGTTTAAGAATAACCATTTACATTTTTATAATCCATACTCTTTTTAATTCACTTTTATTATTTAAAAACAAAAATTATTTTAATATTTATTTTTGAAAAGAAGTTTAATTTTCCCTAGAATCCATGAAATTTAGTTATTGTTTTTATACTTAAAGAGATTTTCAATATAGCAAAAATATAAAATTTACGAACAATTATTTTTAAATAAACTATTTTCAATCCAACGATTTGCCACCATAATAATATATTTACCATATATTTATAACTTCATCAACACTTGCATAACATAGATTTAGCACAAATTTTAGAAATTTCCATTGTTTTTGCTATTTTCTAATCATTAAACCAAATAACAAATATAATAACTACAATAATAAAAATTAAATAAATGTTATGAGAAATTCATTTATGCACACAGCCTTAGACACTATTTATTTAATTTATGGAATACAAATTATGTAATGTGAAAGTGAAAGTGAAGGTAAAAAATTAAAATTGAAAAT